AGCTTGGGGGGAGATGATGCAAAGCACTGAACTCGAGCATGTGGCAACGGTTGATTGTGAGTAGTATAGCTTCGAAGCAACGCCATAGTGTAAAGTTTAAACGAAACTGTGCTGACGAGCGAATTGCCGTAAGGTTAAAAGTTGCATGTTGGTATGATTTTTTGGAAGCACTGTAGAGCCCGCAGGCCTGTGGATGTGAGTCGTTCCACGAGCGGCACTAGGTTTCGGGTCACGGCGACAGCATGCTCTGGTCCGAAGACAAAGCATCGTGAGTGACGTGAAGCTACTTAAGCTGAAGCCCTGCCCTGCCCATGTCGACAAGATGGTTCCACGGACAAGCAAAGACACACTTTGTGCCCACTTGGCTTTTCTGAGACCCCGTGCGGTGCGGCCGATCACTGGTTCGCTCCAGTAGGTCGATGAGGTATCGCTCCGCGCGCGTGAGGTCGTCCACCTGCATCGCAGGCCCTCATCTTGAAAACTACTTTGCTGCCTTGAGCCCACGATCTTCACCAAAACGCAAAGGATCGATGCCGAAGATCCGTCCACTGTTGGAGGCCCCTCGGAGCTCCATCGAACAACATAAATTTGAACTCGAACGTCCATGAATGGTACCTGCTTTGATTCGGCGTCTTGGAGATATTGTGAATAAACACGCATACAAACGCAGACCGGCAACGGATGTAGAAGCCACACGTACAGCTGAGGCCTCGAAATGCCTCTGCAACGACGCTCTCAATTCCAAATCTCCACGCCCAACAACTTCGAAATGCACAAACCTTTGGAGTCGATTACTTGTCTATGAGCGATGCCTACCGTACACTAAACCATGACATCTCATGAAGCAAAACATGCTTTGGTTTGAAAACCCCCTCGCCTTGGCACATCCTTGGATCATGACGTCGAAGCTTGCACGGTCGGGCCTTGCAGTGCCGGCTGGTATCTTGCAGCTTGCATGTCTGAGCTCTGCGCTGGTGTTGAGGTATGTTTGGGGGGCTCCACACCTCGGTGGAATGAACTGATCTTCCGCAGCATCTGGACTCCGGGCTCGATCAAATAAGTCTTTTTGCAGAAATCCGAGGCCCAGCACTCCAGCCTGAAACCCCCCCGTGCGCCTCAGTCCGTGCAGCTCGGGGTGGAGGGCACCCTGGCGAGTTTTCTGAAACCAGCTGTCGGCCTCACAGGGGACACTTCCGGGTTGCCTTTTGGATTGAGGGCATGGAGCTTCTGGACTTTGGGATTTTGGGGGTGTGGGTCTCTGAAAAGCTATGTCTGGACAAGGATTGGTGTCAGGCGATTCAGTCAGAGAGCAGCCTTGTTCGGCATAGCGGAAGCCTCTTTTCTTTTTCGCGCCGGCCGGCGACTGCAAAGCTATCAACAGACGGCTGTATTATTGGTAGCTGCAGGCAGGATCATGCCAAGTGTCCCACACAGACTGACAGACTAAGCTTCAAATGCAGCAACCGGAACTTGCAAAATCCAACATCATCACCCCTTTCGATCTTGACGACAGTGGCGACACAGATGCTGATCCCACCTTAGCGCTACGTAGTCTGGAGATCAGCGCTACCCTTTCAGGCTCCACCTTCTTTGAGTAAGTGTCAGCATCTCGGGTCTGGGAAGGGGCAGAGGGGAAGCAATTCAGGGCTGCGGAGCTTGCAAGCTAAGTATACTGCCTTCTGCCCTCCCATTGGCCGACAACAAACGGGCGTCATGGCAGCAGCGGTGGGAATGCAGATCAAAAGCACATGGACCTTCTCTTGCAAACTAGTTAACATCAGTCCACTCCAATTGATTGAATCGAGACCTCCGAACATAGGTGGAACACTGCAGCTGGCAGCTCTGTGCAAGATCCACGCATTCCAAGCCTCCGCAACTTTTGTGCGATTGCGTTGCTGCCAGAGGACTTGCAAAGTGGATTGCAATGGAGGGTAGCTATATCCGAAACACAGAGTGCTTGGATCGTGTGGGAACATGAAGCATTCACCACATTTCTCCTCATACACTGAACGGTACAACTCCTTTCTCAACAATATTCAATATGGCCACCTCATTGCCATGCAACATGGGACGTGAACAAATGCACACGTGCCACCGCTCTGCTTGCGGTAAATTACTGGCAGTCATGCTGTCATGGCTCAGGATGGATCAAAATTGACTTCCTTGGAGTCGTCGAGCAGTTCATGCAACAGGCATAATTGGGTTCACCCCGGGGGCTGTCAACAAAGCTGGCCCGCATGAACGCAACATGTAGGAATGCATACATGCAGACACACTTACGTATGAATCTGGCGCCAGACACATATTCACACGCGCGTCCATCCATGCATGCACCGACCTGTTGGCTTGTCTGGCCACTCTGTGCGATTTTAGCTTGACACGAAGGCAGCTTTCGACCCTGCCGCAAAATCTGCTCTCCGGCTCCTCGCAGCCCTCACTCAGAGACTTCTCCGGCAAGAAATGACCTAGGAAGTCTTTTCCAAAGCTTAATGCAGCCCTTGCAGGAGATCTACCGAGCGTCCCGGGCTTCGGAAGCGGAAACGTTGCGCAAGCTTTGTGCCTGGGCCCCTTTTCGGTCCCCAGCTGCGACCTCTATAGGCTCCAAGGGAAGCCATGACTTCGCAGAAAAAAGGGGCGCGGTAGGCAGCAAAGCCGGCTTTGGCCTGGACCCTAAAGTCTGACGACTCTCAACGGCCAGATGCCCTGAGACCTCCGAGTCCTCTGACTCGAAAAGTCCTCTGCTTCCTTCGATACTCTGACCATCGGAAGCATAAGCGGGGAGGATCTCCAAACAAATGTGGTAGCCAAGGCCAGGCCAAAAAAGTGAAGCGGCTCCGGGTTTCGTGGGAGCTTCGTTCCCGCTGCTTCCTGCAGCTCTCTGCGACAGTGACAGAGGAGACTTGATCACACGCCTACCATATACCTAGCTTCAGTTTACACAATGCTGCTAAGGATGTGTGCACCACGCAAAGCTCTGTGTCTGTGCGTCTGTCCGGCTGTGATGTCTATATGTCTGTATGGCAACAGTGTTCGTTTTTGTTTGATAGTTTGTTTTTGCTGCGGGTGCGGGGCGCCGTTTTGTTTGCGGAGGCTTTTTGCTGCGGGCGCGCGGATTCCACTCACTCACTTGCTGCCCGCCCCGCTGGAGCAGCTAACCACGGCAAAACAAAACACATGGGCTCCATGTCCATATACATGCGCGCGTAGATACGTACATAGGTTCTTTCTGAGACTCAAAGAAGGGACGATGATGCATAGTCTACACTGCGTTCAGAAGTCCTACCCCAACCGCTTGCCTCGTTTACTTGCTCGCTCTCGAGCGGCTCGCCTGATGTTTGAGGCACACACGCAACTGCACACAACAAACGAACCTTGCAAAAAGCAGACAGACGACAAAAGCGATAAAACAAAACAGAACAACTGGAGCGCGCAACAAGTAGGCAAGGATATGCTCTCTTGAGAGGACACGCGCTGCTGTCTGGGCTTGATTCCGATCGACGTCGAGCCGCAAGTCCAGCTTAAATACAGGTATCGTCTGGTGAAGCGCTATAGTAACTTTAGTATAGGGACTTGAACAGTTACAAGAATTGTTCCTGAGGGTTGCTGATTAAGGACATGGCACGGGAAACCCTATCAAATTTCTTATTGGGGCCCTACATTACGTGTGAACGCAGACTTGGTGGCTGGTATACGTGTATCTCTATGCTACATCTTAGCCCTGCGACTCTACATGCGGTCCACATGAAGGAAGTCGCTTGTCTGCACTTCACCGTCTGGGACTAGATTCGCTAGACTCAAGCTTTGGGGGGCAAAGCGTTTCGGTGATCAAGGTTTCAGGTCAAGAGGCTCGGGTGTCACTGTCCTTCACCGCCTTTCAGGCTATGTTCAGAGTCTTCCAGGGAGGGCCAGGGGGGACGCGCACACTCTCAGCATGTTTGTATCGCCTGGCAAGCATCCATGGAGAGACAGGTATGTTGGGATGGAGGCGGACAGATAAGATGTACCTAGATTTTACATAATACATGCAGGGGAATATTACTTGGTCTAAAGTTGTCCCTCACGTATTTCCTGTATGCACATGCATGTAGTCAGATGGATGGACAGATAGAAAGACAGACAGATAGATAGATAGATAGATATAGATAGATAGATATAGATAGATAGATAGATAGATAGATATAGATAGATAGATAGATAGATAGATAAGTAGGTAGATAGATAGATAGATAGATAGACGCACACACACACACCCACACAGGCACACACACACACACACCCACACATACATATTATATATATATATACACATTGCACACACGCGCATCACATGGATAGCTGGGTGACGGGTGATGACAGGGAGCTGCTGGGAACTTGCGAAGCTGAGCACGCATCTAGGCTCTCTCCTGACTGTATGCTCGGGAGAAACTTGCTGAAGCCTTCTGATCGGTTCTGCTCTTGATCGAATTCGTCCACCTGTATTCTTGGACTGGGGCATCCCAAAGCTAACTGGACAAATGCCCGGTGTGCACTGCAAAGAATTTCAAGTACAACCATTCAGTGCATGAGCTTCCCCCCAACCATGTCATGCTTGCTGACAGTGCATGGCACGTAATATCGCTGCTGGTCCATAAACGCTTCCTACCACGGCCCGAAGGGGAAGCTTCCTGATGTCGAGACCAGGCAGGGGCAGCGTATCCTGCGCACTACGAAAGAACTACGTCTGTGCCCGACCCTATGTAGTGTATAGTGACTGTGACCTAAGAGTGTTCCACCAGTCCATGCTTCCCACGATGCTCCCGAAGGTAGAGCAGGATGCACCATGTTTACATTAATGGGGCTTGGAAGGTTCAGGGGCTCGGAGAGGACTGAGGACAAACACCAATTCCTGTCGAACTCTTTCCAGGAATCTACTGACCCTTTCGACGACAATGCGAAGTCTTGCCTTCATGTACATGTCTGAATGCTTAGGACGAGCTTGTATCACAGGGCCTGGCACAGCACTAGTTTGAGAGGTCGAAGACCTCGTGGCCGCTGGAGTGCACGAACATCACGTGCCTCAGGCCTAGGGGCAGGATCGAGGGCTCCGGGCCAAACTCATAGGGTTCCCTAAGGGTCCCCTTAGGGTTCTATATTATACAACCCTTATTAAAGGTACTATCATTAGGGTTCTATAAAGGTTCTCTATAACCGTAAGTGTCTTAGGGGGCCAAACTCCCACCAAACACAAGGGCAACCTAGGCCTGATCGAGCATTGAAGCGCACACCCAGCAGCCACACCCTTGCTGCTGGCTCTGTACGCTCTTTACCTCCCGCCTTCAACCTTTGAGGCTTGATACTCTGAAAACTCGACTTCTTCCGCCCCAACATGAATCACAACAATCACAGTCCTGGCTCAAACGAGATAAGTCGCCAACATGCAGGAGCATCAATAGTTGGTCTCTTTGCGAGCTGCTTGAATATAGACCCTGCCTGTTTTTTCAGCATGACACAACCCCATCCTCCTCCTCCTCCCCCCCTCAGGTTCCAAGATGCACTGAAACCCGAAATCTCAGGCCCCCAAATGCCTCGTAGCACCGGAACCCTCGGCCGCGGGCCTGCAGTGAGAGTGTTGCAGTAGGTCATGAAGGCGCGCGCTTTGTGAGCCTCCGTCCCCCACTGGTCCGGAAGATTCCTCGGGATGTTCGGGCTTCGACGGGGTGAGGTTCCAGGTTTGGGGGTTCTAGCGTCTCAGGGCTTTCGGACTTAACCTTTCGGGGTGTAGGGTTTTCAAGGTTTTGGTGGTTTTGGAGTTTTGGGGCTTCGGGGTTTGGGGGTTTCGGGCCGCAGACCCATTGCAAAGCCACCACAATCTTCAGAGCTTGTGTACATGAGCATGACACGCATCTGCTGTCTTGTGCTAGGGGGTTCCTGCATCTTGATAGCTAGATGTCTTGCTTGAGTGATGGGCCCAGGGCCTGTGTTCCTCTGCTTGACTCGCTCGTGCAAGTAGTGTTGCTCTATATTGCTCTGTCCTGTTTAGCCCCTAAACCCTAGACCCTCATCTTGCTCTTGTCGCGATTGCACGTCTGAAGTCTGAATGCAGCAGGGCTCAAGACGACAAGATCTGCTTCACTGGACCGTGAGAGCACTACCTGAGAGGACTCGCGGCGGCCCAAAGGACTTTCTCTGTACATCTCGTTTTTGTCGGAGGGTTACTGGTTTAGGCGGTTTTGAAGATAAATAGGGGCGAAAGGAAGTTAACAATTTTGGGTTTTCAGGACAGGAGTTAGGTGGTAGGATTATAGTTTGGAATTTGCTTCGGGTCTGCAGGCGGAGGGGAATGCCGTCTGAGTACGAACTGAGTGAGCGTTAGTGCATGCAATGACGCCGTAGGCATCGGATGGGTTGACGGCTACTTGTCTCCAGATGAACCTGACAAAGTCTTAAGAACCGCGCATGCGCAAAGCAAGCTCTCTACATCAATTGTAGAATTGTGGGGTGTGCGGACCGTGCCGTAGAAACTTCATGTGCAGTCAGTTCCTGACGCTACCATCTTCTGCGACATGACAAGATTGTGCCTTAGAAGCCCTGTGACAGTAAATTCAGAGGCCGGCGTCTAGGGCCTAGGGCCACCTGTTTTGGGGTGGGGAGACTATGAGGTTGCATTACCCTGACCGAATGGTGGTCTTTGCGCATCATCGTAAGCGAGCGGAGCAATATGATGCAATGGTTCAAGGCTCGATCTCGTGGTGCGAAAGCTTATATCTGTTTACGGTATTCAACATGCAATCCCCTTCCCTCGAAACCCTGCACTGGAAGTCTAGGCCCGTGGTTTTGCACCCGACAAACCGCTGACCCGTCCGCCTGGTTCAGCCTTGCGCACGACTCGAGGTTGGTAAACTCGGGCGCCGGAGGAAGTCGCGCACCTGGGCATCGATGATGACGCTGGGAATCCAGAAAGCTGCTTACTTGACACAAAACAAGTGCCTAAGCAGTGTTACAGCACTGTGGAACTACTGTAGCCAAAAAGAGCCAGTAATACACTACACTTTCGAGGCTTGCAACAGTGAGGTCGCAGGACAGAGCAGGGATGCTGCAGGCTTGCAATACTAGGATTCGATATCTGCTAGGAGTGCAATGGCCACCACTACAGCCGTTTGTACCAATATCGCAATAATTGCGTCGTCTGCTCCTACTTGAAGCCACGGTATGCTATCGATTTTGAGAACCCGCGCACGGATCTCCATCTCCGAAACGATCTGGCTTCAACAAACTGGGCTGCCGACACATCGGGAGAGGTGGCTGGCTCACTCGCGTGTGGCACCGATTTCGCATGACATGCCCTGTCTCCTGGCCAAGAAAAGACAGATCAGAATGATCAGAACGCGAGCCGGACCACTGGCTTGATCTGTCTTCACGACTGGATGGGAATGAGACTTAAAAGTCCGCTGCAAACAGCCCGAAACCGTGCCAGCTAAACCAGAGAACGCCGCACTTCGGCTGTCTAACCTCTACGTACACAAGGCGTTGGATGCTTGTGGCCTCATTAGCACTTCCGGTTGGTTGACTTTCGCCTGCCTTTTTGTTGCTTCTCACTGTGATGATAGTTACGAACACTTGGGGAGAAAAGCCCGCCTTCGTGGAACGGTCGGTGCGGCAGTCGCTGACCATCACGTTTCCAGGCTGGCTGTCTTCTGGATCGCCGCATCTACCTTTGAATCAACATGCACATCCCCTTTGGCAGCATCTTTACTAGAGCACTAAGCCTTGTGCCTGATCCGGAGGCCTTCAGCTTGGAGGTCCGATAACCCGCTACCACCTCCAGCCCTTGCTTGGACATGAACTGAGCCTGTTGACGATGATACGCATGAAAACGCTTACGCAGGCTACATGTACTCCTGCTACTGCGGCCACTGCTGCTACTGCCCCCCTTCCTACAGCGACAGGTGTTGCCACCGTTGTTACGATACGTCTGCTTCTTCTGCAACTGGCACTGCTGCAACAGACCCGACTTGGAGAATCCCGTGCCGAGGAGCTATCCACGCTTCGCGAAGATGTGCTGGAGCAGGGAGGGTCCCGAGGATCGGCACTGACACCTCGGCACAGCAAGTCTGCGCAGAAAAGGCGCTCAGCACTCAACACCGCGGGGGGAACCAGACTCATGAACGTCGCAATGATTCTGGGAGGCTTTGTGCATTAGCTGCGGGTTAGGATCTGCGAGAAGCTGATTGAACTGCATGTACAGAACACCCGCGAAACTGCGTCGCGACTCGTAGGTCAGGACTTTTGGTGTTGCTGACACCTTTTGGGTTTGGGATGGTTCAGGGAGTGCCGACAGGATTTGCGTCAACATCCTGCTAACGGCACAGTGGCAAAGGCTTGCTAGACCAGCGCTGCCGGGACACAGGAGTTCTCGTCCACCACGAACAGGTCGTCGATTTCCAGCGGGATAGACTCTGCCTAAGTGTCAGTGTCAGGGAGATCAAGCGTGGCTTGCCGTCGGTGATCTAGGCGTTGGGACCGGAACGGCCCTGTCTCTAGCGGCAAATGTGGAAGGCACGTTCAAACGGAAGTGCTGTGGGAGATCCCAAACTCGAACTTCGAGGATGCTTAGACGTTGGTTTCCTGCTGAGTCTTCATATCTTTTGCAGGGACTCCCCAAGCCCTGAGCCAAAGCCCGCGTGCAAGGCCAAGCAGCCCTAACGCTCACCAACAAGGGATAAAGTAGGGATCCTTTGTAACTCGAAATAAGGTTTTGGGGGCTTCTTACTAAAATTATAGTATAATATACCCCCAAACCCTATTCTAATTATCGAGGCCCCTATATTACCACGATACCATAAACCCTTCTGTGCCCGGCCCCGAAGAAATTGACCTCCAAGCTGAGGTGCTGCAGCCGGTGCCACGCGGAGGGAGGAGAGGAATTGGTGGCGGCCCTGTCAGCAGAACGGATCGGCAGGGGGGCCTGGAGTCTCACCACCTTATGGTATCCCTCAAAGAACCTATTATAGAACCCTTTATAGAAACCTAATTACAAGGAATGTTTAAGAGAGCCCTGGGTGTAGCATTGGCAAGACGAGTAACATCCGAAGCTCAAGAACAGAAGCAGAGATGATGCATAGCTGCGGGGCTACATCACCGGGTTCCGCTCCGGATTGCGGCGCCCAGACTTCCGACAACCGGACAGCTGAATCGATTCCCCCTTCGGTGATTAATTAACAAATAGAAGGACCCGAATCAGGAACCTAACTTTTTCCAACTCTCAACATGACTAGACTAGACATGACTCACGCAGACAGAGAGGGCACTACCTCCTTAAGGCTTTGGCGTCAGGGTTGGAAGGATTTCAACATACCAAGCTGACCAACCTGACTCGACAAATCCAAATCCCAGCAGCCATCTCTAGAGAAAGGGCTCCCGATGAGACCAAACCCCCCACTCTCCCTCTCTCCTTAAACCCTAGTAAGCCCTAAACTTAAGGCCTTAAACCATAGAACCCTGAAGCCTTAAACCCAAAAAACCCCGCAGCCTCACACCCTAGACCCAAAAAACAAAAACAGGCTCAGTCACCAGACTTCTGAACCCTCGAGCCTCCACGCGCCATGTCCAATCGTAAGTGTAGGGTCTGCCGCAGGTTTTGACGGTTGGTGCTGGGGGTTGGAGGGTGTTTTCGTTGGGTTTAGGGGTTTGGGAGCTTAGGCCTTGAACATGTGCGCTCAGGGTTTGTGTTGAGGATCACCAAAAGTCAACCGGTACTCACCATTCCGATAAAGGCATGCATGTGCCTCCCGATAGACAGTTGACGAGATACAGGACTCTCCCTGGAAGTTTTGACCGTGAGGGTCCAGGTCTTACAATTGCAAATAGGATCCTGCCCCACGCCAGGATTTATCTTGTGTCGGGGGCCTGTCCAGCCGTAGCTACTCCTACATCCCAAGCACCCTAATATCTAAAGCCTAAAATCTAAACCCTAGATGCCCAATGTTCAAGCAAGAGGGCGTTTCCGAGGCCTCAAGATCTGCTTCGGGTTTTTACCAAGGGGATGAAGACTTCAGGGAAGTCCTCCTTTGTCCTCTCTAAGCTTCCAAGATTGGGCCGTTGTGACGTCGAGCTTTCGACTGCGGCTTCGTTATCTTAACTTGAATCTCTATGCTCCAAGAAGCTCAAAGCCTGGGGATAAGTGTAGTGTTATAGAATGTTATAGAGTTGAGCGCCGAATGCAATGTAAGGTTCCTTCGATACCAGTTGAAGTCCATGAGGAACAGCACAGGCGCCTCAATGCTCCTGCCTCCACTTCCTAACGAAATCTACAGGATCGGCCCCTCAAAGTTCTGATACCCAGCCTAAACCCTTAAGCCCGAAACTCTGAAACACCCAAGGGAAAATTTGAAACACCCAAGGGAGGCCGAGCCTTTCGTTTGAAGCCCGGCCCCGCTCCCTGGAAACACATGACATTAAAGAATGAGGACCCTAAACCCCAAACCCCCAAAGCCTAAACCCTAAACCCCTAAACCCTGAAACCCTTAAGCCCTAAACCCTGAAAGAAACCCTAAACCAAAAACATGAGGACCCTAAACCCTAAACCCTACCAAAAAAAAAAACTACAACCAACAAAATGAGGACCCGACTGGATCATCGCATCGTCTGCCAGGATCACCTCGACTTCGACGTCGAACAATCGGCGCTCCCGGAGGGTCCTCTGGCAACTTCTGTTTTTAGGGCTTCAGGGCGTTAGGGCTTTAGGGGTTTAGGGCTTTAGGGGTTTAGGGTTTTTGGGCTTTAGGGCTTTAGGGTTTAGGGCTTTAGGGCTTTAGGGTTTTAGGGCTTTGGGGTTTAGGGCGTTTAGGGTTTAGGGTTTTAGGGTTCAGGGTTCACGGTTTAGGGTTTTAGGGTTTAGGGCTTCTTGACTCAGGGTCCAAACCCCAAGTGCCCCAAGCACGCCCAAAACAGCACCCCCTGAAACTGCCCCGAAGTTTCATGCTGGGCCCTCAACTTAGAAGGAAAGAGGGCTTCCAGGTACACATCTTATAGCAAGACATCGGCACTCTGAAGGATAAAGCCATTACCAAGATTCCTCCGACCCCTACATGGGACTTTCTCAAAATTAGGGTACCTTATTTTGGGGTCCCTAAAAATAAGGGTCCTGCTATTAGGGTCTAGGGTTTAGGGTATAAGGGTCCTACTATTTAGGGTACTATATTAGGGTCCCCTATCTTCGGAAAGCCCCACATGTTTGCAGGCAAGCGTCCTGGAGAGGAACTCCCCGGCAGCCTTCGCTTTCTCCTGCCAAGGCACCGAAGTTAGGGTTTAGGGTTTAGGGCTTTAGGGTTTAGGGTTTAGGGTATGAGAACCAGTGCCCAACATACAGGGGCCTTCTTAGTATGTATAAAAGCGATCCGTTAAGTGGCTCACTTCCCTTAAAGGCTTCCTCATAGGATTACTGTAAGCGTCTAGTCCGGATAGCTAGAATGGGGTTTGGGGGTATATTCAAACATAAGAATGATAAAGGAATCTCAAAGGAAGAGTATTACGTAGTCGTATTCAGGCTTCCATATTAACAGGCTGCTATCGGAAACTCCCCAGATGCCGTCGCAAAGAATGAGTACCAGGGCATCTTGACAAGCAACAGCAAGATGAACACATGCAGCCACACAATACGGCCGTAGGACATGAACGCATGAAGACACGGGCCGCATGTTCAATAGCATTCATGCGACCAGTCACATGGAAATGTGGGGATGCAAGACTGAAACCAAATTCAATCTCACCGGAATACCACCAAAAAAGAGTCTCCCCGACTTATGCTGCACAGTGGTAGACGCTACTTTTGTTGAGGACGGCCTCTGACACATCCTCGGCCAGCGTAAATACACGGATTTGGCTCTGTCTCCAGTTGCGATGCCTTGGGGTGAGCTCAGGCTGGCGGGGTTGTGGGCTAGGGCTTCGGGTTGCGGCTTAGTGTGGGACTCCAAACTCGTCTCAGGGCCCAATGTCTGGCAGGGGGTACCTATGGCCACTTTGGCCTAGCAACAAAAGAACCGTGGGGATGCACAGCCGTGCCCTGCTGAGTTCATGGTTGCTACATGGTTGCTACTTGTGGCACTGCCGACGCTGCTAGCACATGCATGTCAGCAAGATAACTGCTAATGCTTTGACTTGCTGTGGCCTTACATGTTTTTTTGCTGTGCGGTCAGAGTCAAGGTGCCGTGGCATACCAGGGTTCAGGCAGCGGAGAATGGTGGAGAATGCAAGATGTGCTGTTACAGTCTTCAAGGGCTCGGTTTAATGATCTAAAGGCAACCCGGCATGAAAAAGCGCCTACTGTAGCAAGTCATTCTGGCTATGCGCACCCGGAACGAAGTGAGTCGCGACGCTTGACATTGGGTCAGATGCCGGTCACCCTGCATCCATGGTACTGCGTTAGGAGCCAGGAGAGGAGGATCAGGAAGCCACCATCGTGGATCATCCACCACACGTCGATAGTGCTGCGTGGGCCTGGAGTTCGGCAGCAATCTGAATCCGAGGCCGATCTCCCACTGAGTCGCAAAGTCGGCTTGGCGACAAAACTAAGACCGGGATGCCTCTCTGACTGACTTCGTCTGTTCAACGGCTCAGGCTGACGTGCTCGTCGCCCACTCAACAAACATTAGCGTCGTGACTACTGATGAATTACCCCGACTTGGCATTGGCTGCTCCGACATTGCTGTCCTGCCTTTGACTTCCTCCAGGGGCATGTCCTTCAAGCCCTTGACCGCAATGACAGCCTGTTCGCATCGTCTCGTCGAGGAACAAAAAACCCTAAACTCTAGACCTAAGCCTTGCACCCTAAGCGCTAAGCCTTCTGCCCTGCAAAATGTCGGAAGGTCACGGCATGTTCTGGGGCGTGCTGAATGCGCGCTGAGCTCTCGGACATGCCACGCCAATGGCTGCAATGCTCTAACATGTGCAACCGCACTCACAAGCGATGTCACGTCGCCTTTTGCGCCTACGCGCTGTCCACGCCTTGTCCGCGGAGTACGCGTGGCTGAGGATTTCTACCTAATGACAATGAAGCCATTGAAAGGAGAGCTTCTTAGGATTCCATGATCTGTGGATCCGTTCGGAAAGCAGATACGTGATACGAGGAAGAGCAGGAGGAAGCTGGCGCAGTTCTGCAAAAGAGGGGAAGACTTCTTGCGTGCGAGGAGAACCGATTACACAGTCAGATGCGTGCTGCTCCCAAACGATGGCAAGATCTGCTCCACGAGAACCATGTATAACCATGTCATGCAAATGCGATTTCTTTCTCGTTGTGCTAGAACCTCACTTTCTTATCTGGCTCCATGCTTGTACTCGAACGAGTCTAAACACCTACTTTACTTCTTCGACTGCTGTTGCAGGTGAGGATGCTTCGCGCTGTTTGAAGACGCAGGCCCACTTCTGCACGGTCGCTCCGTCTACTTCTGAACGAGGTCCAAGTTGTGCGTGTAAGTGGGGACGCCGGCATCAACATCCAAATACCTTGAAACCCTCTCACCCCACAACCTGAAATTTCACCTCCATGCATACAAAACCTATTTTATACAGCCCCACAAGCTGTCACTAGCTCTGGAGCCTTCTGCGTCCTGCTTGCCCTGATAGCGTACTATACTATACTATACCATACTATACTATACTAGTCTGCACTATACTGTACTATACTTTACTATACTATACTATGCTTTACTATACTCTACTATACTATGCTTTACTATACTCTACTATA